AGCTTAGCCAAAAGTCTAGCGCTTAAAAACCGTACAACCCCTTCAAATCATAAACGAGCAATATTATATTGTATTAAAAAAAAAAATACTTGATACATTTCTCCCGTAGTTATACTGAACTTTTAAAAATAAATCATGTGATTAAATAGTCATTCCCATGAGAATTGCTATAATGATTATGATTATAATGCTTTTTAAAAGAATATTTAAAAAATAATTATTTATTAATTATTAACTATGTAACTAGTATTGTAAAAAAACATTAGGTAACTATCGTTAGAGATATTATTGGTCGGAATGAAAAATCTAAGACACTACAAAGATTATATGCATATGTAATGATGTGCTTCTAAGCAATCATAATTAAATATTTATATACTGTATAATAAAATAAATAATGATAACCTTTAGTTATAAGTCATTTATTAATGTAATCATGTATGACAAAAATTAAATATTTAATCACAATATAATAAAATAAATAATAATGACCTATAGTCGGATTATAAGAACAATAGATAACACACACACACACACACACACACACACACACACACACACACACAAAGGATATAAATTATAAAAGGCCGGTCACATACACAGTGTCCTTACTGTATTTTTGTACAGACGATTACAAGCGAGAGTAAAAGACTGCGCAGATCGAATATCAAGGAGACATAAGTATTAAAGTTGTTAATAGAAAAAATTAAATATATATCATGTATTAAAAGATTTGTAATAAAGTTAATAAGTTTAGTTAAAAAAACAATTATTGTAATTTTTTGACGCACACTAGTTACCTTACAACGTATTCAAAAGACATAAATAGAGAAGACGTTGTCAGAAAGAAAAAGAGGTAATATACTGTTTTGCAATTAATTTAAAGGCTTATAATCAAACCCCAATATATAGTATTATATATATATAATACTATATATCTATAAGTCCTTTTAAAATTATTACACATAATTCTAATTAAATTCTATATGTGTTGTTTAAGCAAAAGCCAATAATACTTTGGTAAAATTTATTACCATATCCAGATTTATATCATAAATTAACAATTGATTTATCTATGATGTAGATTTTTGGTATTTTTTCTTTATAATAAACATATATTGTTCATATTGTGTTTTACTTACATAAATAATAATTTTTATTATCGACTCGTTTAGTCTATATTTTAAATGTTAACGCATAATTTTTGAAATATTTAATAGTATTATAAGTTCAGCTTAAAATTCAATAATAAATTATAATGCTTATAAGTTTATAGATATTTAAAATTTAAGTAATTCGAAAAGGGTAGTTTTTTGAAAATAGCAAATATATATGGCTACGCTTTTAATAATGTCCAAAATTATAATTTCTAATCAGGTGATTCTTACACTTTCATAAGGTTTCAATAAACTTCACTAGGCATATTTTGACTTATGTGTGGAAAATTTTTTATTATTTCTTATAACACGCCAATGCAACATAAACTCAGCTGTTTTTTTTATCATGTCCGAGTTCTGGACCCGATAAATTCAAACATGCCAAATTTTGATTTAATACAATTTTAGTTAGCACAGAATAATATACTTTTTTTGTACAACAAAGTTAAAATGAAAATACTTGTTTGGTCTCGACACATTGACATTGGTTATATTGTTATTTTATTTTTATATAATTCTTTCGGTTTTAATGTTTCAATAAAGTAAATTTTTAAAATTTTAATTTTTCGGACATATTACAGTCGTATTTAATTCTTTTTTTATCTATTTAATTTGTTCCAATGGTTTTTTTTTTACCAACTTCTTAAGTTCACGTTTTGCCGTGAAAATTTTTACTGCTAACAAGAAGTTATTCTTGATCCTTTACAGTAATCATTTCTTGTTGTAGTTTGTATTTCGTCACTTCCAACAGTTAGACCGATCGATTTTGATCTGTAAGCGAAGATTTGAGCATACTGTTTTTCATTTTTGAATTGCATAATTTCGTAATAATACATTTGACGTTTGAGACCAACTTTACTGTTAATTCTCAATCTTAAGTTTACTCGTTTTTCTTTTCTAGTTTATTTTTTTCTTAGCGTTAGCATAAAGCTTTAGTTGTTTCATGAAGTGTCTCCTTTAACTTGGTCGTTTACTTAACTATTTTATTTCACGCATCTTGTAATTGATGTTCAACCGTCTACAACTTAGTGAAATTTTTTAAATCCCCTGCAGTCCATTAATCTCTGCTTGCGACACATACATTTTTATCGTACTTAGTTTTTGATTCATATCAACACTGTAAACAGTCATTATGGTCCTGTTCAGTACTTATTTTTTTCTTTAGATCGGCGAATTGGATAATTTCATCCGCCAAAGTGTGTTATATGCAAATTATTTTCTCATCCATAACCTTAAGTTCTAATACCAGCAGTTTTTAACCACCCAAAAACTTATTTGTGATATACGACAGTGGATTTTACAAGTTTTTAATTTCTTTAAAATAAATAGATTTGACGATTTCTCTAGCTTCTTTATAAAACCTAATAATTTATTACTAAATGATTTTTAGGAATTGTATTATTATAACATTGTCATTAATTTCTAAAATTTGTGACTTATATTTCATTTTTTATTAAATACTATCTATGTTATGTAACTATATATAAACACGGTATATTACAAAGAATTATTTTTAGCCTTTTTGCATGCATTTGGTATAAATAATTAATAAGGTAGTATAGGTATTTTGTTAATTTTTTGAACCCAACTTCTTATATATAAATAATTTTCACATTATTCTCCTTCTAAAATTCGTCAAATATAAATTAAGCTTATCATAATTAAATATAATTTAGTTAAATTCAGTTACAATGATCAAATTGTAGACAATATGTGATAGGTAAAACATTAAAATTTTCTACATTGCTTATTAAAATAATAATTTCTCATCTGTGGTGGACTTAACTAAGTTTTAGTCAACAGATAAAAGATACATAACTTAAAGCACTTGAAATTTTGCATGTAGCTAGTAATAAGGCACCTAGCATTTAAGCAAAGAATGTAGTTAATAGATCGACATACATGCTTTTGTTTAAACATATAAGTTATAAAATAACGAAATAATGTATATTATCATACAATTGTATAGTAACTTTTAGTTCCTAATTTGTTTTTTTTTCTTAGAAGATACAAAAAATAATATTTATTCAAAAACTATATCGCATACGTAGAGTACCTGTAGTGTATTATAAAATATTATACACACATCACATATATATTGTTTGGTATTATGGTATTATTTTAAAAACACCATGGTGAGTGGGCGGTCACCAATAACGCTCCCCTGTGGTTCTGCGCTTGAAAAGTAGGCCAGGGTAAGTCGTCTTTTAAAACACTAGACAGAGTAAAACCCATTACAATAGATTTTTCTATAAATATAATAAGTATATCGATATTTAATGTACTTTATAGCTAATATAGGAAGTCAATGTAATATGTACCTATAACAGTAATTTATTGTGTTATTATTATCGTATGGGCCTGTTGAAAATAAGTCGATTTAAGCTGAATTTTGTTTTGAATAAATTTAAAAAAAAAAAAGTTCGTATTTTTATATAAAAAAGTTTTGAAAATGTTACGTGCGTGTTTCTAAAAATGGCTAAAGTAAGTAGACAAGGGTTTTAAGTGTACTTTTCAGTGGTAGATACCGAGTATATGAAGAATAAGCTTTGGTGTGTGGACTAAGTTCTTTTTTTTGTGGCGAAATTGAGTTACTGTAACGAATAAAGTAAACATTTTTACGATGAACATATTTTGAACCAATTCAGAAAATAAATTATATTTTATTAAAGACTGCAAAACAAATAATTGTTTTTCTAAAATGGCACAAGTAAATTGAAATTTAATCACTCTTTTGAACATGTTTATAATTGTAACACGGTCAACATTTTAAATTTTTACAAAAGCTAAAATTCCGTCTCAAATGACTATCTGTATAGTTTATATTTTAAACCGTACACGTCCATGAATGTAATGTATTTTTTACATACTCAATTAATCTAAAAATAGCACCATAAAATTTTATTTAAAAAAATATTTAAAACCAGGTCATTTATTAAATTGGTTCTAATAATATTTTTTAATTATTAGCAAGTTGTTTTGAGAAAAACTATTGATGTATTTATATTTTGATATATTAACTAAATGAATTTCGTCACCAATTAAAATATTTTTGTTCCAAAATAATTTTAAAATATCAGTTATATTTTAGTAATGCATTATTTATAGGTATTTTGCTAAAAAAATAAATACTTTATTATTTTTCAATATTATAATTTATAATATAGTTTTAAATTAAATTTTACTTATTTATAATTTAAACACATAATTTTTTTTAGAGATTTTAGGGCATAGTTAAATTTTTGTTGTTTTATTATTAAGTAACGTATCACGTACGAAATCAAATAATTGTAATTACTTATTTTTTGTAGATCTGCTTAGTATAGACTTATAGGTACAACCATTTACAAGTTATTTGTTTTTAATAAATTCACGTTGCATTCGATATTGTCACACTTATAAAATTTATCATATTTAATTTTTAGCGCATTTACTTGCTATTATTTATTTACGATATATTTATTCATTTTACGATAAACATTTAATTAAAGTTTTGAATTCTTTGTAAATAAGACTTTAAAATAAATGTAGATTTTTAAATTTGTGTACTATGTAGAATTTATTATTGTAACGAAAAGGCACGAAAGATGCACGTGACATATTGTCGTTTTCCCGAGAGTTTAATCTAGGCAAGAACATTTCCCTCGTATTTCATATTACGTATATACGACTGAAAAAAATAAAAATAAATGGTGGGTAGTCCAAGCTCATTTCTCATACGTCCCGACCTTTTTTTCTTTTTATCAAGCTCCACCGCCATCGCCTTTAATAACATACGTCTTTCCTCGGTTTTTCTTCTCTCGTATTTATTTATTCTCTTTTTCTTTTTTGTTTGGTTCACAGGTCTCCCGCCCGGAATCATTTCGAGAATAACAATGAAGACGGTTTTAATTCTAGCATTGTACAGCGAGCCGAAGCTTTTATTAACGTCCAAAGCTCTACGGGCTTTTAATATATATATGTACGTGTATGTGTGGGATGGATGAAAAGCCGAGGCAGCGGTCCCGGAAACAGAGATGGAAAGATGTACGGTTCTAGTTACAATGAAGTAATATAAGATGAAAAATCGTATTAATTCTGAAAAAGTATAATAATAAAAGTTATGAGCGGAATCTTAAATGAGAGCACGAACACGCAGCAATATACACCTGCTGTGATGATAAATGGGCCATATACTATAATGTGCTCCCTTTCCACTCACTATCCTACCCGTTAACCGACCAATGCTTTATGATAGGGAAACAAATTCGCAAAGATTTTTCAACCATGCATCACTAATGCGGATAGTAATAAAAATAATAATCGGAAAATTGTGGAACGTTCTGTTGTGTATATGTATAGAGTCGACAGAATAGTATAATGTATAGTGGATTATGAATTATGACATTATTATTGGAAGTTATAGGAAAACAAAAAAGAACAACGCCTATATAAGGAATTTTAATAGGATTATTTTTGCATAGTTAAAAAATATTACGATGTTCATGCACTAAAATAATGTGATCGATAATTTGAACATGCGTGGGTAATTTTTTAAGATATTATAAGATATATTGAAATTTCTTGCCATTTTCTAATTATATTTCAAGTACATCACTGCACATTGCATACATAACACACCAATATAACCCACATAAGAAGTCAGTCATAATGTGATGGACAAGCAACAAAATCTATTTTTAATGACACATTACATATGGCTATAGAAATACGAATAGATTAGCGTTTTGTACTGACCATGTATAGTAAATACATACGCTAAAAATCAGTTTTTAATTTAAACACAGCACAGTTCCACAAGAAGTACCTCTTATGCAATGTTAAGTGTATACTATTATTAGTTTTCATTATTGTAATGCTAGTGTTAAATATAACTTAAATACAGTTTATTTGTATTATAGCTTTCTTTGTAAAATCTTTCACAGCAAAATTAATAAAAATTGATAAATTGATATGTTTACTATGTGTATTATAATTTATTAGTTACATTTTTATAAAATATGTTAGAATAAAGTTACAAATGTAATAATACACACAAATTATATCTTATCATATTTAATATTAACATTTCAAATATTTCTTATCAAATCATTGTAATAAATGTAATAATTTTTATAATCAAACAAATTTTTTGAAATTTTTATTAATTCATTTTTAGATGACTCCCAATATTCTGTTTGCACTGTGAACAAATAAAAAAGACCAAGAAATGACTGCGATTTAATATATTATGGTAAGTAATTAAAAAAAAAATTGGATAATTAAAATATTTTTTTAAAACTATGTATTAATATTAAAAACAAACAAATCCATTCTTACTTTTAAAAACGTATGATATGCATAATATATCATATTAATTAACTGTTTTAAATGTATATAGAGATATTATTACTATTTCTAAATTATTAATATTACCAAATGATGCTTTTTTAAGATAATAAAGTAGTGCAAATAATATAAAAAAATAAGATATATTTTATGTAGATAAATTCGATATACAGTTAGCATTTTATTCAATAGGAAGTTTATTTAAAATATTTATATTAGGATATTTTACAACGTCATAGTATACTGTGGTATTATATATGATATAAGAGTAATAAAATACAAAATTATTTTAGCCTGCAAATATTTTGAAAATATTATTACTTATGCATATTAATAAATAACAATACGTATGTTATAAACTTATGGATAATTTTTTAGGCATTCCTAATATTCCTATACATATTACCTATTTTATATTTTAATAATTCATATAAATATTTAGCATCGATTTTTCTTGGTTCGGTTGTGTTTAGCTTCAGACGTACATTATTTTTGCGTCTATTGTAGTGGTTAGGACTCGATACTTCTCGAGTAATCATGTCGTCAAATGAATAGTAGTAATAATAGGTTTATTACTTTGATTGAGATTGTCTTACAAATAATTATTTGTTTACAAATTTTAAACTTCAATCATGGTTTTTTTTTTTTTTTTTAATAAATAAAAACTATTGGTAATTATTACTACTTAACGAGTTCATTTTATTTTCTTGTGGTTATATCTAAAATTAAATTAGACATTCTATTCTGTTTATTGTTTAATGATTTTAACTTACTCGACATATCTACTGATATCGTAGATACTATATTATTATGATGTGTAGTAAAATCATAGTACTCATACGACACCGAGAAAACCATCTCTAGACAGTGGTGTACCTAAAAAGCCTATTAAAAACGCCGTGTAACAAAAGTTTTTATTTAAATACTTTAAAAAAAACATAAACGACCTGTGTTAACGCATACTTGACACCTTCACATATTTTAATACTTAATACAATACGCGAGAAAAGTGCAAGTTCAATGCGTGCCCCCATGCATAGTGTAAGTCCTACGCTGTAGGTGTATTATCTCATTGCAAATTTGAAAATGGTGATAAAATCGTTGTATTCGAAGAACATTTCTAAGCGAAGTAAAAAAACCCGATTTAGCAGATTTCTGCAGAACTGTAGTGTTCTTAGCACGGCAATGGTCTGTAGATTTTCCTTATGTTCAGGTCGTATATATAGTTACTGATCACATTTAAAAGTGTAGGTAGCTCTCGAAACTCGTAGAGTGCTTATTCTATATAGTGACGGCACTGACAGCCAAAGAATAACAGTAAGACTAAACCGTCTGTTACGCTGTTCGTTTAAATCAAAATCTTCAGGATCGTCATTATGTAATCCCGTCCCGCAGTTCAAATTTCAAAAGCGCGCACCGTGCACGGTGTAGTATATTATTATAATATGATTTTGTACGAGCGTAATGACAGGATGGTATCATCAATAATCACACGACGACACATTATATTCAATCGTTGTCGACCGATTAATAGTGAGTGTATAATGTAATAATATGTACTAATAAAAATCGAGTGCAACAGGGAAATCCGTCTCGTCGGTCGCCGGTTCGCGCAATAAATTATTGGTCGTTCGGGAGTTAAACGACGACGGATGACGTGCATACACCGTCGATGGGGTGGTCGGGATAAAGTGTGCAAAACGATTGTACTAGTGTGCGCTAATCGCAAATTGGCCGTTAGCTGGGCTGGTTGCTTGGCAACTGGCCAAAACGATCGCTTCCTGATTTCCATCAGCCAGAGCCGGCCGTCCGGGCTTTAATTCTTTATCGACTTTCCCTTCGGTTTACATTTACGCACCGTGTGCAATATCGTTATAGGCATTATATATAGGTGTTATATTACACACACACACACACACACACACACACACTTATGTATATATATATATCTCAACCGTCACGCAAAATATCCTTGTATTCGAATCGGTAATTTTAATTGGTTGAAAAACGATGCGTCCATTCATCATGGTCAATAACAACGGGTGAGATGTTGTCAAATAAGGAATTGAAAATCGTCTAACGATTTTCTCATATCATATTTTTAAAATTTTGTTGAAAAATATTTAATCCCGTATTACATTCTTTCATAGTTCTTCTTCCCGTGTTCGGGGCACCACGTGTTTAGAAGGATCGGTTAGCGAAATTAACTGATGGTTAACCACGCCGTGCCCGATTGTTACTTGTTAAATCGCAATTTCCGCGGAGTTTTCTTCTGTGTGTCTCTCCCCCCCCCCCATCACCCACCAATTGGTTCAACGTTATATAAGTACCTATAATAATATGGTAAATTAATGATTTTATTTTTTTTTTTTTTAATAACTAAATAATCTTAAACAAGTTCTTGAAGTTTAGTAATTAAATAGAAAAAAATACTGAGAAATTGAAAACGGCTATATTTTCTGTGTTTAATTAAAAATAAAAATTTAATTTGGTTAATTTATTGTAATTCAGAAAATAATAAAAGTTTATCATTAAGATAATAAAAATAAAAAATAAATAAAAATAATACAAACTTAATTACATTTAATTATTAAAATCAATGTCTTGTTTTGGATTTTCTATAGTAAATAAAGTTTGTTTTTGTTAAAAATACTTTAATCTATTTATTTTAAGAAATACCATGGTATTTTTAACAAATTCAAATATTTAATTTTAGAATATAATGTCGTTTTAAAACTAGGACATGATTAATATGATCGTACTTATTTAAGTAAAATTATTTGTTATTATTTAAGAAATCTTGATTTAACAATTATTTTAAAATAACTTAAAATTTTAAAATTAATTTATAAAAAGTATCTAGTTAATCTAGTTTCTTTGAGAATCATTTTTAATATGATGATGAATACTAAATTCATAATTTTCAACTTTAATTTAATTCAGGTAGATAGTCTTAATTATTCTACCGAGGAAAGTGAAGTGAAATAATTGATGAATTCTAATTTAGTCATATCCAATGTGAGTTTCATTAAAATGTTTCATGTTAAAATTAAAACTTAAAACACATCACGATTTGTATTAAATAACGAAGGTATTCAATGTTTTTAAAATTTAAATAATTATTACTTAAAAAGGTTGATGAATGAAGTGTAGTAATAATATCGACGAAAGTCTAAACATTTCATATATAAGGCAACTTGAAACTTTTAATTTTTAAAATCACTTTTATCTGTTTCTATTTCAAAGTATCCAAGATGTTTTCTAAACGAGAATGCTTTTGTTAGTGGTTTCAATGATTCGCTCACATAAGATACTCTATTTTGTTTTCCAATATATATATGTATTAGTCAATAGCACATTGGAAATAATTAAACGATAAGACGGAAATGTCAAAAACTTTTTCTTTTAAACTGCGCGTTCGAAATTCCATCAAGCGAGTGACTCGACCCAAAGTAAAACTTAAGCTTAATTAAACCGTAACCGCTTCTTTTTTTACCAGTCTGTTAGAAAATGGGTATATATCAAAAGACAAACAAGTCTGTTCGTTAGACAACTGTTTGTCGAAGTAAAAAGAAGGAAAACCCATACGAATTCGTTAAAAAGCACATACCCACACAACTCAGATTTTTCTTTAAAGAAATTGCTTTTCCGTCTCGATTTTATTACACAAAAGAATGAGCTTTGTCCATTGGGGTAGGGGGTAAAAGAAGAAGAATTTAGTTACATTCTCCACAATGTGATAAACAATCCTCTGAGGGACGGAGTTTTCTTCGTCGCCAAACAGGGTTATCTTCTGTTTGATGCTTGTATGTCTACAGCTGTAGTAAGTAAGTTTTTTTTTTTCATCTCTGTGTTTGACGCCCTAGGCCGGGTAGTCGACAACTCAGATAGAATTCATCGGTATATTTCAACAAAATGAAAATATGTCACTGAAGTTGTACATTAAAAACGTTTTGTTGAAAATAATATTATATTTATCAATATGTTGAAGAAATAATATGTAATCTATAATTTTATAATAGATGTTAAGAAAAATGTCAGTATTATACAAGAAAATTCCGATTTAATTATCGGATAAAAAATATGGGGAAACCTATTAGTTAATTATAACAATTCCTTTATAATTTATTGTATAGAATTTGTATTGACGTATGGAAACTAAAAATACATAACTAATGCTAAAAGAAAATATCCAACTATGTCATTCATTATAAGTTTATAACACTTTTTTTATAAAATTAAGTTATTATAATTATTTTGATGTTTTCTTAGCCGATTTATTTTGAAGATTTTAGTGTTTCATTTATTTTTACTTCGACATTAATAATTTTACCCTAAAAATAATCTATCATTCTTTAGAAAGTATTAATACATACTAAGTAGGAACTATGTTATTTTGGCACTTAATTTAACGATATAAACGTCACCCATGTATATTTGTACTAATAGAATCATATTAATTTGTTTTCTGAGCGTAATTGTCGTAACTAAAATAAAAAATTTATATCCATACGACATACTTAAATTATAAATTATTATTAATGAATTAAACTATTTCAAAATTCAAGTTTTTAAATCAACTAAAGTATCTGGTTAAATTATAAATACTATTTATGAATATTAGCTGATAATAATAGTTATTTTCAATTTCATAAATTACATTTTTGTAAAATGGGAGATTTTTCAATCTCGTTATTTATGATCCCATATTTCATATTCACTTATTTTTCTAATTTTGCCTCACAGATTATTAAATTTAAAATAAACTTTAAAAATAAATATATACCGTACTACTGTAAAAATTTTATGATATATATCTCTAAATTAAGGATAAAAATTGTAATTATTATGCATAATTTAATGTAATTGTTTTTAATATATTTAAAATTTTGTGTTAAATACTAT